TAGCCCCTGACCACTTATGACTGGCCCACCGAGGAGGATTCAACACTACGACCTGATCCCCGAAGGACTGAATGCCTGTGGTGAAAGTAAGTGCCTCAATGCGTCAAATAAGGACTTGGAACGGTAGGAAGCCAGCAAGGATATGTTAAAGAAAGAGAGTGCAATGAGGCTGGATCCGACTGTACACATCTCGAGCGACAGCAGTACCAGTTGCTGAACAGTTTTGCAAGAAGATCTCCGAAAGTACAGGCAGTCGAAGCTTTTGGAAGCACCGCAAGGAAGAAGAAGTCTAAGGAAGTACCACAGGGTTCTTCTCGACTACCATATTCGCTGACATCCTTAACGAAGACGAGACTCCCACATCTTCCCGACAAAATATGGAATCGATCACGAAGAGGTTCTGCACCAATCTCTTCCGCTCGTCAACATCCGTCCCGTTATTCCCACGGAAAAATACCACCGCGGATTTTACCTGCTGAAGTACGCGCCGCAATCCAGACCATAAAGGCAGCTAAGGCTCCGGGACCGGACATGTATCGCTCGACCTCTTACGAGCTGGAGGACATCGCCTACACAAGATACTTGCGAAACATCTAACGTCCTACCTTCAAAAGGAAGGGATCCCCGATTAGTGGAAAACCTCCCAAACAATCCTTCTTCATAAAAAGGGCGACAGGGAGGATCTTTCGAACTACTGTCCAATATGCCTGCTGTGTACGCTTTCTTCGCGAAGACTATTCTCGCTCGCATATCAAGGACACTGGATGAAGCCTAAAATGTAGAATAAGCTGGATTTCATGAGGGATTCGGCTGAATGGATCACATACAGACAGTTTCGAGGATTATCGCGGTTTACCGAAAGTACCGCCTAAATTTCGTCCTAACCTTCGTCGACTATGAGAAAGCTTGACAGCGTCGATCAATGCTATACTATTAGCGCTCACCGACCAAGGGGTGGACCCATCTTACGTGAAGACTTTGGAGGACTGCTACAAGAACTACCCTAGAACGGTACACCTTTTCCATTGTCCCCTTAACATAACAATCTCGAAGGGGATTCGACA